CACAAATTACCCAAGCGTAGACAACGCAGCGCTGCAAAAGCCAAAGCAATTTAAAAATTTACGACATTCTACAGTCATTACACCTTACGGCGTCTCTGGCCACGCCCATTCGAACATACGTCCATGCGAAATTCGCTTACAACTTCCGCAAAAGAAAACAAAAACAACTTTCGGTTTTTCCTCAGCGGTTTTTTTTTTTTTTTTTGTATTCACTCTCTGTTTGTATGCAAATTTTTATTTCTCTGCTTTGCTTTGCCAAACGTTGGAGGCAAAAAAAAAAATAACGCGTTGAAGTAGACGTCACCACCTCCACAACTTCCCCTTCTATTTGTCAAAAGCAAAAAAACAAAAAACAGCGAAATTTGATGGTCTTATCGCCCCTACAGGTCCGGCTGGCTGAGAAGTGCGAGTGCTCGTATTTGCATTACTGCGAATTCTCCATTAGAGAATTATAATTGTGGGCACTTTAGTTCCCCTGAATTGCTTGTAACAGCTGCAAGACTAAGAACCACTTAACTTACCTGCTGCTTGGCCCAAACTCGAGTGTTATTTATTGGACGCATTAAGCTATATACATTTCTACATTTTGTGCATATAACCATATGGGAAGCAGCTACATTTTCAATTTTAAGAAAACTTGTTATGCTTTAGAATGGAAAGCAATTTGGTTTAATCCCAGCTCAGATTTCCTATTTTTATACAAAAAAAAAAACGCTCATTGCTCATCAATGATATAAACAGAAATTGTGTGTGTGTGTAATTTGTTTGCTAAAACTTTTCAAGTACAACATGCCACTTCAGAAAGGTACTTTAACATTTCATCAAACTGTCGGCAAGAATTTTAAATATTCCAATTTTAAGAGTTCATTCGAAATCCACTCAAAAACTTTCTGACCCCAAATCGAAGGGTCTTTGTTTGTCGCATACCTTTTCCATGGATGTTCCGAGGGAGTTATTCTTATGGCTCGGACATTTGTTGTGTCCTCAATTATTCGGGGAATGTAGATGTTGTTGCAGAGCATTTTATGAGTGTTTCACCTAACCCCCCCCTCTGATTCCATTCCCTTATTTTCTCTTTGAAATTGAAGTTGAAGGACGTCCGAGGACTTGCGAGTTAGGTTTTTTTTTATTGTTTTCGCTTTTGCTTTATGAAATTCAAATTGAAATTGAATTTGAATTTGTATGCGAAATTCCGAGTGGCTCCGTTCGGGTTATTTGACTTGAACGTAAAAACTAATTAATTATACGTGCAAATTGTGTGATAAATGCCATTTGTATGCTTCCTGGCCCCAGCTCCTTTCCGTTTCGCTTAGTTATGGCTTTTGTTTATGGTACTCGCACATTGTTTTTCATTTTGAATGTTTGTTAATTTCATTTTCGACATATTTTGCGCTTGTTCTGTGGCTTTTTGTAAAATTTATGCAGTATTCCATTGATTTTCTAGCCAAGTGGGTGCGTCTGGCCGGTGGGTAGGAGGTGGTGTTGGGGGCGTGGCATTACAAATAACACAGATGCTGGCAGCTGACCACACACAGCAGCAGCAGCAACAAGAGCAACATGAAGTGTCCTTGTGCCCGTTAGGCAGCTGTAGCTTATTTTGGAGCATTTCTATTTTCATGCCAAAGCATCTAGCCTCCAACACCCCCTTCCTCCCTCTCACCGCTTCCCCACCCCCGTTGATTATTACATTATGCACTGCTTGTTATTTATAGCGGGTGTGACATCTACGCAACTTGTTCAAATCTGATTCACTTGCACTCACAAATGATTCATGTACACAAATATCTTTTAATTATGCGAGCAGACTACGCATCAAAATGGAAACATTGATAGGGGTTTGTGCTGGGTGGGTGAGAGGTGGTGTTGGAGGGTAGTTTGTTAGCTGCGCCACGCTCGCATAGTTCTACGAGGCATGCAATTCATTTGAACTTGCGCCTTGCTCGAGTGCCAAGTCCTTATAATTAATGTATCCAATTGAACTTGACCCAAAAACCAAAAGCTCTTCAAATGCTCTTGCTTGGCTGCAGTCTCTAACGAGGCGCAGAGAGACTGCTGCAAGATGAATAAATATTAAGATGAATGAAGGGAGTCACAGATTGCCTGCCGACTTGAATTGCAAATTGATTTGCTAAGCTGACACAAATAATGCCAGCCAGTTTCATTTTCGTGTCCACTCAGTCATAAATAATTGCTTGTTATGAAAGGAAGAAGGTCATATATCAAATACATAGTTTCTAAATTAGATGGCATTCAAGCGAAATTTATTGTTAGTTAATGGCTTCTAGACTTTGCACTCATTTCAACCAAATTTTATATTTAAAAGCATACAATTCCAAACAAAATCTTTACATTCTTCGTTAATGAAGGCAATGTAATTTGATTACATAAAAATGCTTTAAGCCTCAAACAAAGGTTTCAATTAATTGCATAAAATTATAGCACAAAATTTGATAAATAAAATTGGAAATATTTTGATTGGAAAAAAGGAAGAAACACAGGGGCTTGTCATAAGCCTTTATTTATTTTATTAATTAATTTTTTAATGAATAGCCAGAAATTGTGAAAAATAAAGCTTAACAAATTGTGCTAATTACGTAAACATGAAACGCACCAAAAAAAAATGCCGTGCATAATTAACATATTTATTTCTATATTCATATTCATTACCAAAGAAGATTAAAATGTTGTTCAAATATAACTAAGAAAAATCACTTTGTGCAAGTTATAAGCCTCTTAGCATATGGTAGTTGCCACATCTAACGATTGCTGTTCCAATTAAGTTCCATTTATATGAAACATCTCAGCTTGCAATTTATTCATGTTATGGAGCACTTCAGAGACAGACAACAGTTTCATATGATCTAAATATGACCAGTCTAAGTGCAAATACCATTTTTTCTCTGGCTGTGGCTGTCGCTGAGCATCTGTTTCAGAAACTAATGTATGAAGCACTTCAGAGACAGACAAGTTTCACAAGAGAGTGTGTCTCTCTATTTCTCTCTTTCACCATCTCTTTCTCTCTCTCTCTTTCTTCAGTTATTGTCCGCTCATAATTATGTATGACCTAAATATGAACCCGTCTCAGTGCATATCCCATTGCTTCCTTTTTTGCCACATGTGACTGAGCATCTGTCTTTGGGAAACTAACTATGAAGCACACTCTGTCTGCTCCATATAGTCAGCTATCAGCTTACCCACACTATGAGCTTCGAGTAAGTGGGTGAAGGAGTGAGCTCGTCTCTGTTTTCGCTTGATATCAAATACATTCATGTTTAGTTTTGTAATTAAAAGTGTCATTCTAGACGCACGCACAAGCACCTGGAGAGGTAGAACTTTGAGCATTAGCATGCAAATGCATGCGCTCCAGTGTCGAGTAGCAAATGAAAAAAGCATTCAAGGTAACTCACACGTAATCTCACACATACACACACACACACACACACACACACACACACACACACACACACACACACACACCCGTAGTTGCAATTACATTCGAGTGCTTTGCCTGCGCCATGTTTGATAAGTACGAACAAAAAAGTGTTGCATACTTTTGAGCGACACAAAAAAATGGCGAGTGCGACGACGATGACGGCTGCTGCGGTGCACGGCTGCCATCCAGATATGTAAATGTGTGAAATGTAAATGTGAATTTCATTTTAATTGCACGCACACTTGAAGCCGCTGTTGTTGCCGCTGACACGCCTCAGAATCTATGCCCAACCTCAATCACCAACTTTTCTCACCGCAACGGCGAATTGCAGCTGGAGGGACGGACTGTCAGTCAATCATAAAAATGGCGTCACTTTTCTCACAGTTGTCATAAAAGCTTTGCAAAATCCTATGGCAACCTCCATTCCCACTTTGCGGTCTTAACAATATTTTTAAAAATTGTTCATAGTTGATATATTGCTGAGCCATATCTCTGTAGAGTGCGCGTTTTGCTAGCTTCCTTCCTTGGCAACTTCCTGTCACGCTTCTAAAGGCAACAGCCATATAAACATTATTGTTACCACTGTTTGTTGTTGCTGTTGTTGTTGTTTGTTGTTTTTGTTGTTGGTGTCTGTGTTTCATTTGAGAGGACGTGCAGGAAATTTGAGCAACGCACAAAAATCCATTTACGTAATTACTTCACGTTAACTTTTGCTGTGCGTCGCTACAATGTGCCCCGTAGCTATTTCCTTTTTTTTGGGGGTTTTGGGAATGTTTTATGGAAGAGTTTGCTGTTGGCGAAATGAAATTGCGCTCTTGCCTCAGCCCTTGCTCTCCACCAGACCTAGACGCCAGTCAAGTCCTTTTATTATTAAATTATTACACAGGATTGCTTATTGCTTGATTGGAAATCTTTTCGCCCTTTCTTTCTGTTTTTCTTTTTTTTCGACCCACTTTTGGGCATTAAACTTGTTAGTCGCTGTCGGCGGCCTTTCCTAATTAGATGAGGCAGTTCTGCCGGCGCATATTGATTACAATGGCTGTCAAAAGTTTGCGATCCGTCGCGTAACTAACCTCTTGCCCTCAATTATTGCATTATATCAAAGCCGTTTCTCATTTCGGATACAATTTATCGATATCATTAATAAATATTTAGCTATAATTATACAAAATATTTGGTCTACATTCTTTTCCTTCACTTATCCAATTTCAATTACTGGCATTAATTAAAAGTGAAATATAATACAGGTTTATTTGGAAAAACAAGAGATTCCACAATAAATTGCACTTAACAACATTTTCATTTGGTAATTAAATTGAAATATTTATTATATTTTTAGATTTCAACGAAGCATTTAATAATGTAAGGCGACACTTTAAGCAGCCAACCAGGAATCGAGTTAAGCTAGGCAAAGAAAGCAACAAGGCAACAGCCGGCAATTGAAGTGGAAAGTGGAAAAGGAGAGCAGAACTAAGGGGAACTAAAGAGAAAGACAGAGGACCAACAAGCAGAGACCAACAAGTTGCCATCAACGCCGTCGCGCCCTTTGACTGACTGGCCTTAGCTCACTCCCAGGCGCCGATACAGAGACAGCAGCAAAACGGCAGCCGTGGATACCAACACGCTGCGCAGTTCAGCCACTGTGAAAGTGACGACGACGCCGACACCGCTGTCGACGCCGCTGCCGCCGCTGACAATTTGTCAGCCGCCAGCGCCTACGCCGCCCTATCAGCGGCTGACCAAAGCGTTGCAATGCGATCCGAGATGCGGACACGAGGTGAGTGCCAATAAAGAGTTCGCCTCGAGTTGCGGTCAAGTTTCGAGTGGTGCGGCATGCCACCGGCGAAAAGAGGTGGCGGGTTTTTGGGTGTGTGCTCACCGTGCTGACGTCACAGCCAGGAGCGGATCTAAACAAAAGTATAACTTTAAACAACAGCGGAGCTGCTATCTTTGAAAGCTTAAGCTTTAAGTAATAATCTTTCCATAATCTGACAAATTCAATTTCCTTTCGCTTAAGGCTTAAAAAAAGGAAATTGAATTTATCCATAAAGCTGACTTTTATAAATTAATAATGCTAAATAATTTTTTATAATTTTTATAAATATACAATCTAAATATTCAATACAGGGCAATGCGAGTTGCATTTTTAGCTTAAGAATTATGAATTAAAGCTGTGGGAATTCATGAAATCGAGTGTAAGGTTTCCAAGATCTACCTCAAATAGATTATATAATATTGCATCATGTGAAATCTGATCTGATATGAGGCCGGGCCAATTAAGTCCAGCCCTGGCGCTAGTTTGGTTAGCTAATGCACAAACCCAGCATTTGCAGCTAGCTTCTCAGTTGCTGCGCTGCAATTATGTCGAGGTTCAAGGCTAATTTTCTTGCGCCCCCATGAGCAGGGTGTTTGTTTCAGTGTGTTTGTGTGTGTGTGTGTGTATACACTCATTCATTGCATTTGTATTTTGTTGTTTGGCTGTCGCTTTGTATGCATACGGAATGCGCGTGTGGCAAATGTAATTTTACCGCATTACGTATACGCCACGTTGTGCATTGCGTTAATTAACGTTGCCCGCTGCCACGCTTAAGACTGCTGCAGCTACTGTTGCTGCTGCTTTAGATTAAGAAAAGCACAGCCACAAAGGCGCAGCAGCGTTGCTCCAATTACGTTTACCAAATTGCAGCACAACTTGACCTTGTCTTACCATAAGCCCGAATACGCGAATGAGGTCTTAAGTGCTCTTCCAAATCCTCCTCAGCTGTCATATGCGCACATCTATATGCACTTTACATTGCTTTAAGTAGATTTGCATACTGAAAGCAAGCGAGGAAGACGCAGCTGAAACTTGACTAGGTTGCTTAAATTCCATTAGTCAATTAAACGAGTTGCATATTATTATCTGGAGTGTTGTCAGGGAAAAACTTTCGCTCACAGTGTGGTTTACATGTTTGAGTATTTATCAAAGTCATCGCTTTTATATTTATATATAGCATTATACTTATTCGTTTTCTCATCGACTGACAATATTCATTATGGCTTTATATATAAGAAATAAGTTGAAGATGCATTTTACTTATTCGCTTTCTCATTAACTGAGATAATTATATATACACTTTGAACAAGTGCGCATCTTCCATCAGTTTATTTTCATTTATATACTTCTCAAAACTAGGTAACAATTGGCCGTCGCATCGGCCTCTACAGATTCTGTGGCGACATCGGACGCGGCAACTTCTCCAAAGTCAAACTGGCAGTTCATCAGTTGACACGAGGTAAGCCATCAACTTCCCCCACTACCCACCAACCATCCAATATACACTCGAATTCCAAATTGCAGACAAGGTGGCCATCAAGGTAGTTGACTTGGATCGTGCAGGACTGGATGCCAAAGCGCTGCGAATGCTGTCCAGCGAGATAGCAACACTGGAGTGTGTTCATCATCCCAACATATTGAGGTGCGCCAAAAAATATAGCTTTTTTTGTTTAGAAGTGAATTCCAAGTCAGGCAGCCTTAGTCTCTACATTTTTCTCTGAGTGTAGGCTTATTTTTTATTGATTGAATTTGTTAATCTGTTCGCCAGGCTCTTTGAGGTGGTTGAGACGCTGGGACGCGTCTATCTGGTCACAGAGTGGATACGTGGTGGTGAATTATATAACCACATAACTCAGGGTGGTCCACTACGGGAAATTCATGCAGCGCCTCTGTTCAAGCAGCTGCTCTTAGCCGTCAAGCATATGGTAAGCCGGAGAGTAACTATTCAAAACAGGAATTTAATGGCAACACTGATATTTTCTTCTTGATTTACAGCATAGTTTGGGCTATGTGCATCGCGATATTAAGGCGGAGAATGTGCTGCTGCTGTCGGAAGATCGTTTGAAGTTGGCGGACTTTGGTTTCAGCACTCAGCTCATAAATGGTAAGCCATCCGGTCCAATATTAGCTAGCTTATGCAGCACTTCAAGTATCTTTTTTCATACCACCAAATTAGGTGCCAATCAGAAGCTGGATACATTTTGTGGGTCACCGCCGTATGCGGCGCCCGAATTGTTCTCCGATGATCATTATATAGGCGCACCAGTGGATGTCTGGGCGCTCGGCATCTTGCTCTATTTTATGGTTGTCGGCAATATGCCATTTCGTGCACCCACCATACCAGGTCTCAAGGCAGCCATACTCAAGGGCGACTATCTGCTGCCTGGCCAGCTAAGCTTGCCCTGCATAAGACTAATTCGTAAGTTTCAACTTGGCATTATTTACAAGTATTTACCATTTAAGAAAATCGCACCGAAGACCAAGTTTTTCATGTTTTTAGAAATAATTTTTAAATATAAAAAGAAGAAAAGTTTAAGCATGAAAAATTAAAAAATGCTTGCGCAAAATCGAAAATTCCATTATCATTATTGTTATTATTATTATCATTATCATTATGCCTAATTCACTAAGTATTATAAGTTTGTCTTCTTGGCGATATCACATAAGAAACCCTTCAATATTTAAGTAAGGTTTTTCTGTACCTTTTTTATATTTCTCTTGGCATTTGTTTCTCTGTGCAATTCTAGAACGAATCTTAATCCATGTGCCCGCCCAGCGGCCCACAATTGACGACATGGTGAACAGCCAGTTCGTCACATGTCCCAAACTGAGTCTTGAGCTGATGCAGCTGGAGCTGAATCTGCATAGTAAGCCGGCCAAGCGTTCGATTTTCTGGGCGCGCAAATCGCATCGGCTGCGGAAGAGCGCCTCGCTGCGGGAACGCTACTCGGAGGTGGTGAAGAAGCCAGCGATTAGCATGAATACGCGCCAGCAGAATGAGCTGTTTGTGGACAGTTTTCTGCACCCCATCGAGCTGGCGCACGACTTGCCCCCGTCCAATACCAAAGAGCTGGAGGCAAATGGTGAGGCGACCAAGCGTACGAGTTCCGGTCGTCGTTATTTGTTCTGTGGCACACTGAAGAAGAAGATCACCCCCATCGAAACGGAGCCGGAGAAACAGCTGTCGAACGGTGGTCCGCCGGCCAAGCTGAGTCCGTGGAGCATTGAGGTCGCCGACGATTGTCCGCTCTTCAAGAACTACGATGCGGAGACTGGCAGCTGTGTGATGCTGCCCACCAATACGGAAGATCTCAGTCAGCTTTGCGCACTAGAATTCGAGGCGAGACAGCTGCTCGCCGAACTGGGCCTCAGCTCACAGATGCTAATCAATGCCAGTCCCAGCGGACCACGCTCCGACATAATCGGAGCCTATCGCATCGTCGTCAATCGTCTACAGAAACAATCCTGGCTGGCTCGCAAACATGTGGAAATGGCTCTGCATCTGGAGCCCAAGCCGGAGAAGCGGATCGAGCGTCACTGCTGCATACTGTAGACCCGTAATCCCAATGTTGTTGAATGTGTTAAATGTTTTATATAATTAATTAATGATTAACGATTAATGATTAATGATTAGTGTCAATTTGATAGCCCAAGCATAAATGTGTATTTGTGTGTTACTTGTTATTTAGCGTAGTGCGAAAGAGCTGAAGAGTTCCTTATTTCGAATATCTGTAGGTTCTGAGTTTTGTAAACTATTAATTAGTTATATTTTATACGATGATGATGATAATATAGAACAAAGCTACACTTGACTGGTTAGCGATTGCAAGTCTCGACGCCCAGAAGAATAATTTCGAGTTAAATGGAAGACATAAGCAAGAAAAACAAATTGACAGAGTATTTTACTCATAGTATAATATTTATAAGTGAACAATAGTCAAGGAAATTATAGACATTACAATATTCCATCTCTTTACAGATTAGATTGAAGGGTGAACGTATCTTTAAGATGAAAAATGTAGCGTGACAAAGGATATTAAAAAACGAAAACAGTCAAATAATCCAATTGAAATGTAAAGTCAGTTTTCGGAAGAGTCTCTTCTAATTAGAATAAACCTGGGACAAGATAAGCAAAAATGTTTAAGCTAAAAAATATATTTACTAAAATCTTTGCATAGAATATTCAGTGTACACATATTTAACTCTTAATGGAATCGTAATATTTCTCAAAATAAGAATTAAGAATAAACATCGAGTAAGTAATTTACAGAAAGAATATACATTCGGCACGAATCCTGCAGGACACTAGAAATTGGATGGGATACATTAGAAAATATATAGTTCATAGGCTAAACAAAAGTCTACATTTTGGGGCGTTGAGACTTTGACTTTTTTAAGTACAACATTCAGAAGAAAAGCAGTCAAAAGTGCATACGGCTTGGATAATCTAGAGAAATTTATATAAATACGTACGAATAGTCCAAATATTATGTATTTAGTTGTTGGTCCATTTTTGAGCATATATATACACATATACATATATATATATATATATATATATATATACCACTATATAAACATACGAATTATACGAATAACATACATATACAACATATAATAATAAAAAGAAGCTACATCCACATACATACTTATATAAAAAACAGAAGGAAAACAAATGATTCAGACTATTCTTAACTTCCATATAAAAAAATGGCGTTTTAATCAATTATTAAGGTAGTTTGTATTCATCATCATAATAGATAGCATAAACAATGCGTTTGTGTGTGTTTCTAAGTGTTCATGTGTATGTTTGTCTTTGTGTTTGTGTGTGTGTGTGAGTATGCCAAATTGTCTCCCATGGAGTCAATCTCTCGTACAATAAAGCAGCATATTAAACATACATACATATATATATATATATATATGCATATGTATATATATGTATTTGTTCGTAAACAATCTAAAAATTTAAGTCTAGGTTTTCTTATAGTTTATAGCCATTCGGGAAACGCAGCATCCGCCTTGGATTGCTTGGACAGCTGAGCAGCTGCTCCAGTTTCAATTATGATGAGCGGCGCAGTCGCCGAGAGCGGCGACTCTCTCCCTCTCTCTCGCTCTCTCTCATTCGCTCTGTCTCAAATGGGGGCGCTCGGTTTGCTGTCGACGTCGCTGCTGCTGTTGCCTGCCAATTGGAGCACATTGATAAGACACCAAAAATTGAGTGAAAATTGTCTTCAGTATTCTTTTGAGTCACACTCACCCAGCAAGGCAAATGGCTCCGAGTCGCTGCTGGCGGGCCAATCGATGTCGGGCATGGCGGGCCATTCAATATCGTCCGCCGTATCCCAGTCGACGGCACGAGATTGACTTATCTCGAAGAGAGCGGGCGTGCACAGGCTGAGCACCTCCTGGCGCAGCTGCTGCAGCAGCTCATTGAAACTGTCGCGCGTCTTGCACAGAAAACAAACGGCCAGCGAGGGATCCATGGCAGCAAAGCTCAAGCGTGCCGCATACTTTTGATGATAGCTCTCGTCCAGCTCCTGTTCCGCTGCGGTTGTCTTTTGTGCCACGGCGCCGGCACGTTGCGTCGTATGTGGATCCAAATACAACACCTCATCGTCCACATAGCCCAGAAAGTAGAGCGCCTGATTGGGTCGACCACCAATCATGCCACAGCTACTGTTCAGCTCCAAGCAGCGCTTCAGGGCGGGCACATAAATGGGATTGATATCGCTGATGCCCAAACGCAGAGGCACAATGAGCAACAGTGGCTTCCAGGCCGACTCACTGGGCTCCTGACAGAGTGTAACTAAAAGCAAACAAAATAGAGGAGTTTACTTCGAGTTATCAAAGATTAGATATCCTCACAGTTGAGGGAATGCTCAGTTTTGTGAGTGAAAAATTAGCAGCTAATCTTACATATATCATCCAGCACCACAGTGCTATCCATGGCAACGTGTACATTCAGTGAACTCCAGTCATCAAAACGCACCAGGATTCTGTGCATAAGAATAGAATTAATAGTAAGAGCTTTGTATAGCAACTAGATGATCCTACTGCACACACTCACTTGAGTATTTGGGCAACCGTATTTGGTCCCAGCCATTCGCCAACGGCTTTGTTTTGCGACTCGCCCATCAGGGCAATCTGGTGAATGGAGTAGAAGCTTTTGCGCGTATCCTCAAAACGGTTGACGATCTTTAAGTAGGTGGTATCACGGCAGTCGGGCGTCCAAAACCAATCCCGGCCCAGGTGCAATTCAATCAAGGCTTGGGCGAGCACCATTTGGCCACAGCGCAGCATGCAACCCCAGCCCTTGTCAGTGGTCAGCTGCACCTCGCCCAGCGGCACGAAGCCATGGCGATATGTGCACCACAGACGCGATTGGATGTCGCGACGAATTACCTCCAGTTCTGTGGAATAATTGAGCATTGCAGTTAATGATTACCTTATATAAATATGGGCGGAGAATAGTTGAAAAGTGTATTTCTCTATTCAGGAATAGTAGATAATATCTACATATTTATATTATTATTATGTTCGCTCACCTTGTATGGCATTGTAGCGTTTGCCCAGCAGCCAAACGTTTGCGTTCCGCTTTGGAATATCCTCGGGTTCGCCGCTGCCCACTGCGCCGCCAACTGCGCCAGCGAGAACGCTGTCCGGGCCGAGATAAGCCTCGAAAACGCTGTCCATGCCGCGTGCCAACTGCGCGTACAGACTAACCAGCATCTACGTCTAGCTCACGCACGACTCCTCCGCCCTCTGCGCGCCGTTGTTTTGGGTGTGCGTCGTTTTTAGAAGAATGACGTTGTGTTTTTTTCTGTTTGCTGGTTGTCTTTGTTTTGGTTAATTTCGTTTCCAGGGTTGTAGCTGTTATTGTTGTTGTTTTTGCTGATGCTGTTTTTGACTTTTTTCGCTTGTTGTTTTCGTTGCTGGCAGTGTCGTTGTTGTTATTATTACAATGTAATCTCAGAATACGCTTGTGTGATGGTCGTCGACAATTTTTTTTATTGTATTTTTTAATGTGTGTGCGCTGATTACAACGATAACAAAAATTAGCGTCGTCAGCTGCGCTGCTGTCGTTGCGTTGGCATTATGCGGGAATCACATTTGCAACAATTTTGCGTATTAATATTATCGTCACATTTTTCGGCAACGCTCGTACTTAATCTTGAATAAATCATTAAATATATTTTTCATTTATGTTAATAGCAATGCAGTTCAAATTGTTTCTATAATCGTTAAACATTTGTGTACAATCAAATTAGTGTAGTGTCATTCTGGTATAGATGATGTAAATAAAAATCGATAAGTGGCCTATGACCTCTTGATTTTTCTGCTCTCGATTATTATCATCGATTTACATTTCAGTGTTGGCAATCGTTGCTTGCGTTGAACTGAGCGCATTATTTTAAATATGTAAACAAAATGTTTTTTATTAAAACCAAGGCATTTGTTGCATTTAAAAATTTTATTTTATTATTTTACTATCTAATCAAACAAACGATAAGCTGTATTGCCTCGATTGTTGCACTCAATATACATATTACGCGCATTTTGTCAGTGCTGGCAAACAGAGCAATTGCACAATTGCCGGCGCCTCATTCGAAATAGTAAACAAAACTCGATTCACACTTTCAAACCGCAAAATTTGTTATTCAAATCGTAAAATTCGTCCTGCTGCCCATCGTCCTCTTCCCGATCGCTTGAGTGCAACATTTGCGCATTTGGATCGGCTGCCACTGCTTCAGCCTTGCGTGCCGCCTGTCGCTGCTTCTTCAGACGCTTCTTCTCGATCACTTTGGCCGCCGCCTGCTCCGCCTCCGACTGCCGTTTCCAGGGCGGCACGAAAGCCGCACACCAATCCCACAGATAGCAATAGAAATCGAACATCAGCCGCGAATCTGCTAGCAGAAAATGCTCCACATGGAAGCGCACATCAACCCGATTCCGCAGCAGATCATAAAGATTATAGATAAGAGCACCGCAGAAGAGTTGATTCATTCGCGGACTGCGACGGGGATGGTTGAGCAGTGCATTCAGTCCGTTCAACTGATAGATGACCGACTGGAACTCGGCAAAGGCATGCAACACTGTGGTAGAATACAAATCATATTTCTTCTTGAATATCTCCTGCATGTGAAAATGGGGCAGCAGCTTCTCCTGCACCAGATAGCAATCCGACTTGGGCACATGTGCCATCCGCTCCACCACTGACAGATCCAGTAGCGCCGGCTTCACACCACGCTTCACCCCCTCCGCTGCCTCTTTGTCACGCACCGCCCGCTCCTGTTTGAGGATCTTGCCGAAGCGACGCTGGAACTCTTTAAGCTCCCGCTCGGCGGGTATGGTGACATCGACGGTGCGCAGCACGACCAGGCTGAGGAGCAGGGCGTGCAGGTGCAGCATGTCGCAGTGCTCCGATCTGTGCAGCCAGTAGACAATGGCCAGCAAATACAACTGCAGATCCGCTGGCAGCTCATCCAGCTGCTGGAATAATCTATCCACATTCGCATGCGGCAGCTGTGACTCGATCACTGCTCGCAAATGTCTCGCATCTGGCGCGGATGGTTCGTATTCGAGTGGCAAAGGTTTCTCAATGGCTTGGCGATAATAACGCACATTTGTCACACGCAAGGCACGCGTCAAATAAGTGTATTCAATGGGTATCGGTTGCCCCGATTCATCTAACTTGACAGGCGTCGCATGATGGAGCAGCGCAAAGCTGTAGGTGAGTATGGGCAGGGCCAGAGCATTGGCGTCGTGGTGCGCAAAGTGCTCGATTTGCGGGTTATTGATGTACTTGCGCAGGTGCAGCAGATCGACCATGTAACGTGGCAGACTGCCCGGATAGAGCTTGTCGAGAAACCAAGGCGGAAAGAGCAGTGTTTTATCCTCCACTTCAGTGGCATCCTCCTCCTCCTCGTCTAGCTCCTCCTCCTCTTCATTGCTATTTTCCTGCTGCTGTTTTTGCTCTGCTTCCTCGTCCTCCTCCTCGTCTTCCTTCTCCTCTGCTGAGCTATCCTCTAGCTCACTTAGATCCTGCTCCTCCTCCTCCTGCTCATCCTCACTGTCTGTCTCAGCCGTGTAGGGGAAGGCATTCTCGTAGTGCTTCTCAAAGAATTCGTAGGCATGGCAAAGTTCATTCGAGTAACCAGAAATCGCCGCCTGCACCTGAGACACCAAAGAATCGCGTTGTGTCTGCACAAAATAAACATCATTTAGATCATATTTATATATACATAAATTTATATTTAATTAATCAACCTTCTTCAGCCTGGAGAGCACTTTGGCCAGTGCCGATTCTGCTGTTTGATCGCGCAGCCATTCGAGAATGACGCGAATCCTTCGCTGCTGTTTCTTCAACTTGCGACTGCGACCCGCTTTGCCCATGCCCACGGCAAAGAAGTTCCGGAATGCAGAGCTGAAAGATGTTTTTTTTTTTTAATCAATATTCATTAATTTTTAAAAACACACAATTTCTAATTAAGCACATTTCAAATTCAGTCATCGATTTTTGATTTCCTATTGGATTTTGTTCTGTTTTTTGTTTGGGACTTTTGGATTAATGAAGGGAAATTTAAATTTACCGCGCAATGTAATCGTTGCCGAGTAGCGCTGCAAATAGGGGCAATTTCTCGGCGCTGAGTGCGCCACGGCCACACAGATGCTCCACGCGATAGATGCAACAGTCCAGATATTTATAAGTTGCGCCCGACTTGGATGTTTGCTCAGCCGAGCTGTTTTTAATGCCATTCATAATTTTGTGGGCTTTTGTGCGTTTCTCGACGTGTTTTGCTTCGTGTTGGCGCAACGAGCGCTGATCAGCTGTTCGGGGCTGCTTGGTCAGCTGTTTGGTGAGCACCTTGACGGTGAGCGTAATTAACGGTATGTACTTAACATTGTGTATATAAAAATCGGAGTCGTAAGACAAAACTGGACAGTTGAGTTTCCGGGCGAGTGCAGCCAGTTCGTCGTCCGCCTCGAAGACGCAGCGCATGACAGGCACATTGCAATCCCTGACAGCGTCGACGAACACCTCCTTCAGATGCAGCGGGAAGAGTGTGATTGATGCACAGGGATTAATGCGTTTTATTACAGCGATTTTGCCCCTCAGCCGTTTGCTCACTGTGCGCAATTTACGCTCCTCGTAGCCGCCATCCATCAGGACATACGCTCGAATCTGGCACTCGGCCAGCACCTGGAAGAACTGCAACACAGCCCGATAGAAATCATCGTAATCGCCGCCAAAGGCGGAATAAGTTCCTGTCACATCTTTGTACAAATTGCATGCCAAATTGTCGCCATCAATGACTAAAGCAGTGTTGTGAAGTTCGTACGGTTTCAGATAGATCTCCGCGCGTTGCGCTATGTAACTGGTCAAGCCTCGGACACCCATTTGTTGCTGTGCGGCTTTTTTTTTGTTTATTTATATTTTGCGCATGAAAAACGCGTGTTAAAGGCGAAACAGTGTTGTAGGCTGGACGGGTATTAAGTGCTGCCCATAAGCCCAATTGTCACTGTTACAGCAACTGCGGCAATTTGAATGTCCAGCCTTCGAATGCACCAGCAATTTATAAAGGCAACGAAAATTCGAATTGAGAATACAAATTTTTAATAATAACAAGGCATTCATAAAGCATATTTTACTTTTATTTGTTCCACAACATATGGTCACTCTATTGCACCGGTAGTGAGGCGAACGTTAACGCATTATTCGGACGCAGCTGTTAACGCACAGCTGAGACTGTTAACGCATGCTATTTGTTTTTGGTATTTTGCCGAGAAGTGTTGTATTTTTATCGCAACCGTGTGACAGTCACACCTGCATTCAGACTGTCGCCGTCAAGCAAATGAAACGCTTGTCTTTCGTCCGTAACGTAACGCGTAACGCGAGTGGCTTTTCTGCTGTGCCCAGCGAGCAATTAAAATTCGAAGTCAAATGCTCCACGAAGAAAAGGCGATAAACAAATAATATACAAATATAGAAAATTAGCGGCATGCTACAAATGTAGTTAATGTAAATCAAGTGCCTTTCCCAAATGCGAGCGCGTACGCGTTGCATATATACGGGTTCCGTTCGTTCCGCAAGCAGCAAAGCAGCGTATCGTATTTTTCCCTCTTACGTTTCTCGTGTGTGTGCCTGTGTCCGTGTGCGTGTGTGTGTGTTGTTTTTGTGCTTGTTTAACGTCAAACAACAGCAGCAGCAGCACAGGTAGACAACGTCTCAGACACCATAAAACGATCAAAGATTAAAAACAAAATAAAAAAATCTTTAGCGAAAAAGTATAGAATAAGAATTTCGACTGCGAGAAGCGCATCAAAAAACGCCAACAACAACAGAAAAACAACAAAAACAGCACTTATTTTTTCGTGTTAATTACTTTTGTGCGTCTTTGCTTTGCGGTCGCATTCATTTCATATACTAGTATTATTTTTTTCTTGGATTTTCTTCAGGCAGCCACAGCCATCAACGGCCGCCAGACACAAAAAAAAGCAGAAACAACAACAAATGCTTTCGCGCCCCAATGGGTGTGAGCGAGCGCGCAGATCATTTATACGTATCGTAAACGTATCGTGAATGAATATTTTGTCTATGTGTGTTTTGAGAGAGAGAGAGTGAGCGAGAGAAGAGCGCGCGGTGCGTACGTGTTTCAGTGTGTGCGTGCGTGTTGCGTGTCCATGTGTGCGTCTGTGTCTGTGTGTGTGTGGGAGCCCAAAGCATTTATAATAAATAAATTGTGTTGCCACTCGTCAAGCAAATAAATAATTATGCTGCTGCACACAAGAAAAACGGCAAAAACGTAACAAAAAAGTGTGAAAAATCGTCGTCGACTTACAAAAAAATACAAATTAAGATCAAATAATAGTACGAGTTACGACTTAAGAGCAAAAGCAACACAAGAAAAAAAGCTCTCAAGCTGCCCATCCGAAAAAAAGTGTTTCGTTTCTTTCGTCGTCCGATTCGCGAGTTTTTGAGTGGAATTTTGACAATTTCGTGTCTTGTTGTTGTTGTTCTTGTCGCTTGTCGGTTGTCAGTCGAAAGTTTTTCGATCAAATTTGTCATCGCATCGGGAAGCTGCTTTAGGAATACACACCGAGAGGGAGAGCGAGAGAGAGAGAGAGAGAGTACTCAAAAAGGTACGTAGACAAATGGTTTTTGACATTAACAGTTATTCCTTATTGATATTGCTCGAATGGAAGTAGCGCATGGAAATCGGCAATATTTTCAGGAAGAGTGCAATAAAGCAACGGGTTTTCTTCTCGCTCACGTTTCCTGTCTTCCTTCGCACACAATTTTCACACGTCCTCGTCGTCCCTTAGCGACAATTGCAATTTTTTCTGTTCGCACAAGTTGCATTTCCCACGCCTACCACGCAGACAAACTCAGGCAGGTAACACTGCAAAAAAAAGGAACAAAAATTCTCGCATTACCAAAATTGAACAAAATTCGTTGAATGCCTCCATAGGTGGGCGATTGAAATGTTCTTCCAGCGCAGTGTGGAAAAATTAGACTCACACACACATGCATGCTTGCTTGCACATGTGTGTGACTGAAAATGCGCAAAATTAGCCACCCGCAGTTTCCAGCAGATCGTGAAAATAACAAGGCTACTCCAGTCGGGTATGCACGGCTAAAAGTTAGTCTGTACTTGAACTATTCCTCTATAAACTAACTGATTTACATATATATTTATTTATTTGAGTTAAGTCTGCTAGTCTCTGCTGAGATCTTCAGCTTCATTCAATATATAATTCGGCTTTTCTTACACTTCCATCAATATTTAGTATACCCTATTTTAAATGGCTATAGAATATAAAATGGAAAATAAATAACGGTGATTATCATTGCCGTTGGCAATTTGGCACAGTTTGAGATTTGTCAAACTTCAAAGGGCGCTTTTGTTGCTGTTGTGCATTAATCAAGCGAAATTGAATTGCGACTTGCTGCCAAATTGAGTTTTGGCATCATTATGCAATTATCTATTCTTCTTCATATTATTGTGCTCTCGCTGTTGTCCAGGCACTTTTGGCAAGTGGAATATCGAGCACAAAAGTTCATGGGGCGCTGCTGCTGCTTCTAACCCCACATAAATTCCATATACCCATTCCATAAATCCAACAATGACTCGACTGGAAGAAGTTGAGTTTAAATTTTACAGTTTGTTGCGACAGCTGCTGCTGCTGCTGGTTCTCTCTCTGATTTTCTGAATTTTGCTTTGCTGCATACAATAAAAAGAGCATAAAATGCACTCACACACACATACGCACATGAACCGTGACAGCTGCAGCAAAGATCTGTCTGTGTGTGTGTGTGTCTCAAATGACACTTGCCGACGGCGTCGCTGCTGCTGCTGCTGTCGCCTGCACATTTTTCTATAGAATTTCCTAGTAGGAAGTGCAGCAGCAGCAATAACAATACCAATACCAAAAACAACAACAGCCACGCAGCACTTGACAATTGTCTTTATCTCTGTCTCGCTCGCTCTCACACCTGCTGCCAGCCTTAGGCAAGAGAGCGACAGCAACTGTAACTGTGTTTGTGTGTAGGTGTCGGTTTATTCCTTGTCTTCGTCTGCTACTCCAGTTATGTGTGTGTGTGTGTGTCTTTTTATGCTCGCAATTATTCAATTGTTTTTCATTAAATGTGCAAACTTGTCTAATGTTCTTGCGCGGAAGTTGCCATTTAAAGCTGCATTTAATCGTCGACCACTTGTAATTTGTCACTGATCTGCCTCAGCCACTCTCTTTCTCTCTCTCTCTCTCTCTCTCTTTGTCCCTCTCTTTCTCGATCGTTTCCGTTCCCTCCTCTCACTTTCTCATCCGTTGAGCTTTTCCACTCATTATGTTTATATGCATTTACCGTTATTGCAACACCTCCTTCCCCCATTTCTTTCTCTGTTTCACCCACGTCTTGACCTACAAGTCGCTTTAATTATATTTTCGACGCTCGCATTTCCTGTCCATTTTCTTTATTTACTGTTTAGAATTTAAGTATTGGGCAAGGCAACGCACGCACACACACACTCACTCACACAAAAATTAATCAGAAACATAAAAACGAAGCCAAAAAAGTAAAAATAAAGTAATTATTTCCTTCCAAAAATAGCAACATGGAAATATACATGTATGTAATTATGGTCGTTGTTGCCGTTGCGGGTGTAAATAACACGTGCAGCACAGAAGAAAAAAAAAAAAAAATTAGAAGTGATAGCTGATAGCAACAATGGGCAAACTATTAATACACAATAAAAAAGCAGGCGAGAATTTGCATTGATCATCCTCCATCACCCCTCTCTCTTTCGCGCTCGCTCTCGCTCTCTGGTATTTCAAACCGGAACGAAATTGGATTTGTGAATGAAACGCGGGTCGACCTTGTCCCGCTTACGTCGAGCTTGCCTTACGTTTTTTCTTTTTTTTTTTTGCATTGATCGCTGATCAATTGAAAGCTCAGCCGGAATTCAATTTGATTGATGACGGCGCAGCTTGCGTTGCGCTACGTTACGTTAATATCTGGTTTTTCTCTCCCTCTCATTGCTTGTGTGTATGTGTGTGTGGGTTCGCTTTGAACGTTGAGTTGTAATTTCGCAAATTTGTGTCGCTAATAAATCATACGTCTCTTGTTAGCCGATTGTAAATTGTGAGTTCAAATTGTTTTTTGTTTGATTTTGTTTTGATATAGTTTTGGCCCTCCTCCTGTGCTGTGTGCCTTGGCTATTATTTACATACATATATGGCGTTCAGCTACCGTGTGTGTATGTGTGTGTGTGTGCTTACGTCATTTGTAACGCCGTATTCGTATTTCGTATTCATACATTCATACAATTCTTTGCCATGTTTTACAGTTGTCAATTGGCTGCTGCGGCCACTTTTTGTGGGCTTCCAAAATACACATTCTGCTCGCGTCAACACATACGGCTTTTGTTGAAAGTAGGTAACATTTGGAGTCATCACTTTTTTCGATGAGTTTCTAGTACATGACCAAAATTTATATAGTTCAACATATATATATTTTTTCAATATATCGAAATTATTTACAGCAATCGTTTACTGTTTCTTTTTTGTCTTCAATTTTTCAATGCCCCAATCACTTGTGTATTTTGGCTTATTTATTTATCAACCGAAAAGCGTATCCGCACTAAAAAATTTAGATTTTCTAATTCGTGAGAATTTACATTTGGCTAGACAGTTTTCATAATGCAATAAATTTCGATTAATTGGCTCGTTAAGTGAATATAATGTGGATATTTGTTTTGATTTGTTTACGTTTCAGCGTGAAGCATTCGCCGCTTGAAAATAACTCATGAAATAATCCATGAATGGATTCGTAAATGGGGCTATACTCTAAACATTAAACAGTCTATAAGAACAATATGTGTATGAATAAGTTTGTACATATTTGTGAGGGGTATTAAAGTTTTCTAATGAAGCGCATTCACTTCTTTTTACAGCGGCCAGTCTCCTGCTACTGATAGTTTTTATATAGATTATAGGGTATTTAATATTCGGCATTCAATCATTTATTCTTCTACCTTAGTTCATCTCGAACTTGTTGTGTTTGTAATTTAAAGTTTGGGCAATTTTTAACACATGTTTTTTCCTTATTTTTTTCCTCTGATTTCTTGGAAATTTATGATAATTAGTATTTGATAGGAATGCCCGAAGAATGAAGCATATTAAGGAGATTAATGCTTAAACACCGGCAAATGAATATTACTTATAGGGAACTATTTGCTTTATGCCGAATTAATAGAGCCCGCAGTTTGTAGGGTTCTTAGCATAGAGGAATTGATGTAGTCACTTCTGCAGGGCAATAATGCTGTCCTTGTCTATAATCTTATCAGGGGCTGTTTCTGTTGGCTAACGAGCTGGGTCAACAAGTCGACAAGACAAATACAAATAGCATAGATACAATTGTCATAGATAGGGGTACCAAAAACCTTGTTTGGCTTTAGCTGGCTTCGATTCCCACACTTCATAAAATGCGTCAGAAGTTGCTCTAAGTGAATCATTAAACAAATTACAAATTAGTATGCCAGTTATAAATAGCTACAAAATAAAGGTATCGATATTTAAATAGACGAAAGCCAAAGAAATTTCAACAAATTAGGCAAACATGTTCAATATGCAGGGTAAATAGTGGCACAGTCTATATAAGTACAACTATGAATAGAAGAATGAGTACAACTATGAGTATTGAATGAGTCCCAAACTACACCCACAGTCATTTAAAGCTATATATAAATACATGTATATCTATGTATATATGTACGGATACGTCTTGCCTTTTAAAGCTTATAGCCAACTCAGATTAGCCAAAAAAAATTATGATGCATTCACTTCACTTTTGTTTGGCTTATTCGATTCGATTACGCATAAAACAGCAGGCCTTGGCAAGATCCCAGATCCCAGCACGGCTGATTGTGGACCTAGGTAAATCATTTATGTGCATTTCTGCCGGTATTTCCCTTGGTCATTATTGTTCTTTGCAATTTTGTTATAAGTTTACATTGAGAACTAATTTTCTGAATTATTTTCGCAAATAAACAAAAATATATTTACAGTTTCGCAAGAAAAAATAGCAACTAAAAAATGCAAACTGTTTTTGTTGTAGAATCCTTTCGGCATATTTAGATTTAGATTCTTTCAGCCAGAAAGTTATTTTTTATTTATTGATATGGCTTCGGAGAATCTGCTTATGGCATTCCTGATGGGGTTTCGTCTCTTATTATTCTATGGCGATAAACAATTGGTCGTCAAGCCATTCCCCATGATAATGATTAGTATCGTTTTCCAGTTGGATAACTCACATGTCATTGTTGTCAACGTAACTTTTTAATTTTTTTTTTAAATATATTTATTGAAATTTATTTAATAATTTGGCAAGTGATTTTGAATAATTTTTATACTTTTCTGACTAATTTTTGTTGGATTGTAAAAGTATTATGAAGATCGGATAAGCAGAACACAGATTTGTGAACTAAAACGTATTTTAATATTGAACAAACTAATATCAGCAAAGCTTACTATGTACATAGAGCTGCTTGCAGGGTATCGAATAATTGAGCAGTCTCCTTTTGTTCTAAGCAACAATCGTAATTTCTTCCTTGAGATTCGACTGATCTTTCCATGCTCATCTA